AGATAGATAGATAGATAGATAGATAGATAGATAGATAGATAGATAGATAGAGTGAGTGGGGAATTCCCCCCACCCTGAAAAGTTCAGGGTAGAGGGCGGAGTATGCCAGCCATGCCCTGCAGCAGGTAGGGACCGAGAGGGTGGAGCTGTTGTTCTAGGTCTGAAGCACAACAGCTGATTCTGGCTACAGAAGTCCCAGGCGACATCTTCATATGGCCTCCAAGGTTGCATTGAGACCTCCGATTGCGTCATCAGGAGTGAGTAATGGAATAAACGAAGGGCTGTCCATGTAGGCTTTGAGGGTGCAGAGCCCGCTGAAGACGCGGGGGCTTTCCGTGGGAAGCACCATTATCCGATTCTCCTGAAGCCTGCCGCAGCACCCATGGGCAGTGCAGTGGGATACGGCCAGTTGGGGTCAACTCACTTGAAGGCACTGGGGTCCCCGTGTATCTTGTAGTTCTCGGTGCTGATGTGGGAAATAACCCTTGTCACAGCAACCAGGATAACAATGTTGACCTGCAAGGGAGGAGAGGGAGAGAGGCAATGGGGAGCCAGGCCTACCCACAGGACACCGGGATCTGGCCCACGGTAGCTACTTCTCGTCCAGCAGGAAACAAAGCTGGGGCAGATTCAAGGCTTTGAGCAGTAAGCCTGCTCCTCTGCGCTGCTGAGCAAAGAGACAAGGCAGGGACTCGGTTCTCATTCCACAAGCATCATGGCACAAAGAATGAGTGTGACCTTTGGGGTCAGATGAACCAGCTCAAAGCTCATCTCATGCTTGCTCACTCCGTTTGACCCCAGACACCTCTGTGGGTCCTGGGAATCTCTGCTTCCCACTGAGTGAGAAGGATTGGCTGATGCAAACTAACCAGCGAAAAAGGAGTGAAAAAAACCAGCGAGAAAGTCCCATTTGTCCAGTCCACATACGGCAGCTGGCTCTCATCACCCACACACCCGTATGATGTTTGAAAGACATAGCAGTGTGTGTAGGACGGTGTTATCTGTGCCCAGCATTGCCTGTGCTCCTGGGTGAGGACCTGCTGGGTAGTTCCCATGCTAGGCCAGCACTCAGGAGACTCAGGCTCTAGCCCAGCTCCTCCTTTACCTAGCAGTTCTCCTGAATCCTAAATATTAAGGGGCAAGGTGGGACTAGCAGGGGGAATGACCCCTCCCCCAGTCTCTTTCTTCTTGAGGGTCCCCAGTGGGTTGTAAGAGCTATGCTGTGGCCAGAGCCTATTCCCTTCAGTGTTAAAATCTTCAAGATTATCACGAGGCCAGCTACAAGCTTGTGACCTTAGTACTGACTGAGGCTTCACCATCAGGCCTCATAGGGAGGCTGCTGGCCCATCCACCCCGTACACAGCCAGACCTGGCAATACTAGAGAGGCCTGCAGCTGAGACCTCCAACACCACAGCTTGCGACAACATACCTGTATCAGTAGCCCAGGTGGCTGAGCCTCAGGCATCCTGAGACACCGCCCCCTTCACAGAATGCCTGATTTGGACCCACCCCCTGCGTAGAATACCTGATTTGGGGGGACTTGAGATGCTTTCCCCTCTCTGGTTCCAGCTGGTATTTTTCCACTCCAGCCCTCTCCCTCTGCCTCCTCCCAGCTCCCATCAGTCATCCAGAGCCTTTTGTTAAAGGTTTTCAGCTGAGACAATTCTGGGTCTGTGCTACACGGCTCCCAGGAAAACGAGGCACTGTGGGTACCTCGCTTGTCCTGTCTAGACTCGTTTATGCTACCATCAGACATGAACAAAGGCTCAACCGTCACTTTCCCTCGGTGCCTTGTTGCCCTGGGTAACAACAGGGTCTCCCAAGGTCAGAGATGATGGAAGAGGTTAATGCATAACCAGCTAGCAGAGTGTCACGCCATGTCCAGTAATTCAGCTGCCCTCCAGCCTTTCTACAACTGATGACAGCGGCCGGAAAACCGCATATGACAGGAGCAAGAGGCAGTGGGAGTAGTGGGCCACCGGCTTTCAGACTTAGTTATACTCCAACTTGGACAGAGACAGATGGCAGAGCAAGCTATGTGTGGTGACTGATTCAAGGGGTGGGGGTGTCACCTCGGAACACCGTGGCCACACCTGAGAGCATCCTGCTGTCAGTCATGGAGGCCCGGGCTGTGTGCCCCATATCCTACAGAGCACCCACTGTGTCACCGAGAGACAACGGAGACGGAGCAGCCCTAGGTCACAATGTTACAGACTCTCCTGCCCTCCTGAGATTTAGTAGATTTTCTTGGGGGGGGGGGATGCTTTATCATTTGTATGCCTTTGGTTCATTTCCAGAGCGCTGGAGTTTTAACAACACAATTCCTCTTGAAATTACCCTGATTTGGCGGGGGGGGGACGTTTAGAGCGAGCCACTTTCCCACTGGCATGCTGCCAGCCTGCCCCTTTGCACTTCGGGAATTTACAGCCTAGCCACCTCACACACCTGCAAAAGCTGTTGGCCGATGATTAGAAGCAAATTGGTTATGCACCGGGGGACTACAGATGTGGACCCTGGGGCTCTGTAGGTCATACCTATGACACAGCCATTGTCTTCTCCTTGCCTAAAGCCCCGAGGCCCTGTGTCCCCTGGAGGAGACACTACTGGACAGTTGGAGGTGTCCAATCTGTAGAAAACGCATGGCGAGGGGAAGAGAGTACCAAGCCTGCCTTCCCTTGGGAAGTCTTGACACTGGGGGACAGAGTAACAGATGCATGCAAAAACTGTTCATACATTCAGATTTTTTTTCATACATTTCTAAGATTTTTCTCTCAACCATGTCCATTACAAATTTAAAAACCAAATCACTTAACTACTTTTTAGTTTGGAGTAATTATAAATTAAAAGGAAAATTACTTGAAACTCATTTTCAGTGAACGTGTCAACAGTGCCCTTGGAAGGGTCACAAAGATATTTAACTAGGCTAGGTTAATGACTCAGGGACAGTGACGGGCCTGAGGAAGGGACAGTGGGCTGTTACCTGTGGAAGAGATTCTGATCTTGTGTGGGGTCAGAGGTCACACTACTGCTCCTCATGTGAGCATAGAGGTTATACCATGGTGAGCAGGCCACATGAGCTCACGGTCCCAGCAGCTCCTCTGGAAACCATAAAACATGATTCCATCCCATGCCTCCTCAGATCAAAGACCAGAGACCTAGCCCCGTATTCCCTGGCTTCCTAAACCAAGCTACCAACAGGGCAATCAACTCTTGCTGGAGTGTTTCACAAACATAAAAAAATGTGACAGGCAATCACCTCGGGATTTTTTTAAACTGATCTAGTCAGGAAACACAGTGTCCCAATAGCAGCAAAGCTGCTCATATTTCTATCTGTCCCGGCTTGTCACTGTTTTTCTTTTTATAGGTTTTTCTAGGTTTGAAGTATGTCTGGTTTCATTTGGAGGCTTAGGACAAGTCCAACACATCTGTAGCAACTTATCCACATGTCTGTGTTTTGGGATCTGATGCTGCACCAGGACTGTCTGGTAGGCAGTGGCATTGGGAGACAGTGATCTTGAATCTGTGTACTGAAGCAGGAGCCAGTGGCTTATAAACCACTTAATCTAGAAATTCACAGAAATACGAAGCAGAGTGGGCCTGGCCCCTTGGCTCTGCTCTGCTCACTCTGCCCACATTCCTGCAGACCTGAAAAGGCCTGGTTTGGTCATGATGCTATGTGAGGTGACTGTCAGGGACTTGCATCAATTTGCAGGATGGGGACAAACTCCTAAGGGCAAACATCAAAGAGACAATTCCAAGCTGCATTTCAGAAGAGAAGAATAGAGCTGCACACCAGGTGGTCAACAATAAAGCCCAGAACAGGCCAAAATGACCCAGGAAAAGGTCATGGTGACTTCTCTAGGAGGAAGGAGAGATGGTAGGTGAGGCCTCTGGGGATGGGCCAGGTTCTGCTGCTCTGTCAACTCAGGGCCATCTAGGAATTTATGAAAAAAAAAAATAGAAATATACACAAGTGTTTTACAAGGAGAAAATTTCTACATCTGCATACACAGGCTATATATATATATATATATATAGTCCCCAGTAGTATCTATCTGTGTCCTAGCATCCCTGTGTCTGTGTCTGCCTGGGAACTCTACATACAGCCTTGCATGTGGTTGACTTATGTGCCTGTAGCTCTGTGTAGGTGTGAATCTCTGGGTCTACAGCTCTATGTGGCATGGATCTATGTGTCTAAAGCTCTGTTTATAATGTGTCTATATACCTGTACCTCTTTGTGCCCATAGCTCTGTATATTTGTGACTCTATGTGCCTGTAATTCTGTGTCGGTAGCTACAAATCTACGGGCTCTGTGTCTATATTTGTGGATCTGTGCATGTAGTTCTGTGTACCTACATATGTATGGACCTCTAGCTCTGTGGATCTGTGGACCTATGGGCCTATAGCCTTGTGGATCTGTAGATCTGTGGCGTGTCGTTCTATATATCTATATCTCTGTGTAGAGCTTCGTGGATCTGTAGGCTTGTAGCTCTGCCTCTGCATCTACATATTCATGTGTCAGGGAAGATAAGGATTTTTGAGTACCCAGAGTCTCGTTTCTCAGACCTGGAAGCATTGTCCTCCTTCCCTGGCTGGGACAGGCACAGACCAAGCCACTGTGGGGCACAGGCTGTAGGATCTCTTTTTTCCTGAACTCTTTCTTCTTGGTTGCGTGTACCCGTGTCCAGGCTCTTTGGGCTGACCTGCATTCCCTTGCTACCAAGCTTCCACGGCATAGCCTCATAACATCACTGCATGTTGAGGTGGGGCATCAGAAAAGTGATATATTAAACTAAGGTCATTTGTATAGGCTGTAATCAAGGAGAGATATGGTCTCACACAGGCAGATGGCAAAGGAGAGAGAAGACCAGGAGAACTGACCTGCTGAGCCTCTGATTTCGGATGTTGGGCTTCTGTGACAATAAGAGAATAGCTTCCTTCATTCAAGCCCCTAGTCTATACATGGTATTTTCTTGCAAGATCTTGAGCTGACAAAGCCCCAGGGACCTTCTGGTCCATTGGACAGGGCTACATTTAGCACCATTAAGTTGGATGGTGGGTCCTGATGCTGACTGGCTTGGTTCTGGTTTTCTCTTTAGCTCTAGAAAGCCCACAATGGCCTGTTACTGCCCACAACCTCCTTCATCTTCAGACCAACCCTCACACGTTCTGACACACACATTCCACTTTCTAAAATAGCTTTACATAAAAATTGTGCAAGTCAGCTGGGCATGGTGGTGCACACCTTTAATCCTAGAACTCAGAAGGCAGAGGCAGGTGGATCTCTGAGTTCGAGGCCAGTCTAGTCTACAGAGTGAGTTTCAGGACAACCAGAGCGACACAGAGAAACCCTATCTCCAAAAACTGGACTTGGGAGGCGGTTTGGCAGTTAAGGGAATATACTGCTCTTGCAAAGAACCTGAGGTCAGTTCCCAGCACCTACATTGGGTAACTGCCTGAAACTCCACCTCCAGAGAATCCAATGCCTTTAGCCTCCTTGGGCACCTACACTCACACTCATGTGCAAAAACCCACACAAAGATACACACATACCCAAAATGAAAAATCATAAAAATAAATCTTTAAAACTCCACTAGCCTCACAGAGTGTTTTTAGATGCAGATAGTGTCTTAAGCATGGGGCAGCAGTTCGCACTGCCCCCCAGGGAGCCACCATTCAGGAGTATCCACCCACATTTTCTCATCCATTTCCCACTTGCATGAGAACAAGTGCCCACAGAGAGCTTTTACACAAATGGGGTCAGGCCACGCTTGACATCCAAAACCTGCTTCCTTCATTTGGAAGTAAGCGGGAGAACTCCTGGGTGAATGAGGGCATGGCTCAGGAGGGTACAAACCCCTCCATCGTCTGAGGTGGGGGCCACAAAATGTCTCCCCATGCCTACCTAGCACCCAGCCTGAAGCCTGGCAGTCAGTAGGACTGGCTACAGCATGCCTTGCAGCTGGGATTGGCCAATTTCTTTCTTTCTTTCTTCTTCTTTTTTTTTTTTTTTTTTTTTTTTGCCAAGGGCTGGGTAGTAAATACTTTCGGCTCTGAAGGCCATAGTGTCTGCTGCAGACTATCTTGGAACTGCAGCCTGAACAGCTGCAGACACATTGTAAATCAGCGGGTGTGGCTGTGGCCCAAACCCCAACCTCAGAGTACACGTGGTCATGTCTGCAGCACTAGGCAAGCCTGCCCTTTACCGGTGAAGCCTCTGCGACCCTGTCATACAGTTCCTCCTGTTGTGGTGACTCCAACCATAAAATCATTTTTGTTGTTACTTCGTAACTAATTTTGCTACTGTTATGAATCGTTGACATAAATATCCGCATTTTCCGATGTTTTTGGGGGGACCTCTGTGAAAGGGTCATCAACCCTCAGGGGGTCACAACCCATAGGTTGAGAACCGCTGCCATAGAGGCTGCCCACACCTCCCTCTCAGCTTCTGCCGTACCCTACTTTACAGGAAGGCACCAATGACCCGACAGTAGCCACCCTGGCTAATGTGGGCAACCTGGGAGAATGTGCAGGCTGTGAGCTTTAACCCTCTGCAGGGGAGGCCGACAGGGGAAGCTATGAGCATCACACGCTGTGGCTGAGGACTTCCATTCCTGAGGTTGAGAATCTGACACGCCGGGAAGGGTGTCAGTGTACTTTAGGCAGCACAACCCCTGGGAATCACACCCAGGGCTACATGAGCCTGGGGCACACAAGGGTGTTGGGTTCCTGAAGCCGGAAAGAGAAGGATCTGGGCCCAGCTGCCTCCAAACCTGGCTGCCTCTGGCTAGAGTTATGCATAGAACATCTGTACACAGGGGTTCTTCCTGGCCCAAAAGATCCAAAGGGACCAGACCTTCAACACAATCACTTTCCTTCTCAGTGCTGCTGCCCCACAGCCTTCATGCTGGTGGCGTCCCCTGAGTCAGGAGGGACGATGGAGGAGTGGGCATCTCTACTGAGAATGTATCCACAGTTTGGCTGGCAAGATGAAGGGTCCTACTAGACCCCAGACAGCAGGAAGACAGAGCACAAATCTCTTGCCCAAGCCTCTGTGAGGCCCTGAAAACAACATGTAATGGCTCATGGTCCTCCTGTAGGCCTGGGCACAGCACAGCTCTGGCATGGGAAGCTCACAGTACTACTGCAATATGTTGCAGACTCTACACCTAGAGCTGCTAATGGGAAGAAAACCAGTGGAGCCCAGACATCCCTCTTTGCAGACATCTCTGGATGGAGCTTGGCTCCACCTCATCCCTAGTCTAGACCTTATAGACCTCCTTAAAGGTGATTCCCACACTGAGTGGGAACCACTCTAGATACCATGATCCCCTCCTTGCTGAGTCATGGCTTCCAATTCCTTTGAGGCTCCTTTTCTTAGGAGGCTATGCAAGTTTGCCCAGGATAGCGGTGGAGCCCTTGGAGCCACAGGCCACCATAATAGGGGACTAACTTGTAAACATGGATCCTGGGCTAAGCCTCAGCCAGGACCCCGCCTAGCTAGTGACTGCAAAGCTAGCATGGTTCCCCAGCCCCACCCTACCCCCGGGCTAATGGACCCTCCATAGCATGTTTCCAGTGTGGAAAGGTCCAGCAAGCTCATCACAGTGCAGCTGGGACTACAATAGTCATGCGTATAGCAGGAGACACATGTATAGTGACAGTTCCTGGCCTTTTTGCTCCAAAGGGCACTGTGATGACAGTTCACTCTCTGCCCTCAGCCAAGAAGGCACCATTATGCCCATTAGCACGAGGACATCAGAGGAATTTCTATTAGACACAATTAGCAGTTCGGCATCTCCCTCAGTTTCCTTTTTAACTAATTACCAGGGTCTTGCCTTAACCAGCAGTCGCTGAATGAGGGTGGGGTGGCCCTCAGATATGGTCCAAGACTTCCCAGAGGTCACTCCACCTGGTGAAAGGTGAAGTCTGATATCACCTGAGATGTGAGGACAGTTTTCTCCCTGCTATCAAGGTGGGGCTGGGACACCCTATCTTGGGAGTAGCAAACCAGCCTACTGAAGACCCATGGATAAGGGGTAACCCTTGGGATTGGTCACCAATGGCCCCTAGGGACCTATGAAGAACTCAATACCCTGCAAAGGTAGTAGGGAAAAGGGTAGGATCCCCAGAACTTCAGTTATGACTCAGTCTAGACAAGAAGTCCTGCCCAGGGTGTTGTAGTGGAAATGGGGGTGGTTCTGGCCCCTATGACTACACAAGTTTGCTCTGTGAACTCCCACATGCCTGCAGCCATGAACATCAACATACAGGCACTGAGGTCATCAGGAGGATGTAGCCATGGTTACGAGAATGCTGTATGGGTCTGGCTGCTTGCTAACCCTGGGTACCTGCCACAGAGAACAGCCGCAGTGAAGACAGAGTTCCTCAGCCATGGGCAGGTGCCTCACTGAGAGCTGTGTGGCTGATACGTGTAGCTACGCCCCTTACTGTCCTCTCTGTCACTTGTCTTCACTTTGCCAGATGAATAGTCACTTGCATACGAGGTTTGCAGGAATCCCTCTAATGTGTCAGCCTTGGAGTGCTGGGACTCTCTGAGAATTCTGTACATGTCTCTTGGCCTGAGCTTTGTGGAGGTCCGGGGATACTCCAGACTCAGGGCCTTCCTGAGGCTATGGGCAACCAAGGCTCAGGACCGCTCACTCCCCTGGAGGGAAGAGCAAGAATAAAAAGTGGACAACAGCATGACGCTGTATCTTGGGGTGTGTCTTCAGGAAGCCCGGCACAGTTCAAACAGCCCTGCCCCGATCTGTCTGACTCTGCCAATGAACCGGAAGACTTACCACAATCACCAGCAGAGCAGGGCCCACAAAGGCCCAGATGGCACCACTGCCCAGTGACAACCAGCAGCTGGAGAGAGAAAAGCATCACTTGAGCAGCCTTGTCCACCCTCTGCAGAGTGACTGCCACCCCACAGCCATAACAATGGCAGGGCCCCACCCAGAGGAAGGACTTGTCGGCTCTGGGGGCTGCTATGACACCACTCTTCATCCTGAAGCCATCTCCATGGGGATCCCGTGACTCTCTTACTTAAAGGGGATTTTCTAGAATTGATGCCCAGGTCAGCCACCTCTGACGAGTCCATAGCTAAAGCCCAGAGTAGGTTTCCACTTTGTTACCAGAATAAACAAAAATCCACATCAGGAACTAGCTTTGGGTGTTTGCAGAGCAAGTCAAATTCTGGCCAGGAAGACGCCTTCAGTGGGGCTTAGAGAGTTGGCTCGCTAGCTGCCTGTCTTCACTGAGCCTGCTGGTCACTATATTCCCCATGAATAAACAGCCCATTGTCTCCCAGCCATCACGCTAACACACTGGAGTAAAGTGACTAGGATGTGAGAGTCTACCTAATCTCAGAGACATGGCCCCTGACTCAGGTGACCTACCCAGCTCCCTGAGAGGGTTCCATGTCCTCCCAGAGCCGGGAGTGGGATCCAGGAATATCATTTTTTCAAACCTGGACATTAATGCTCTTTCCTCATGACACTACTGGGACACATAGAGACAGCAGCAAAGAGTGCGGTCCAGGCCTCCCAGCCAAGAAAGGACTACAAGACCCATCTGCCTGTGCATCCCCAGACCGTGCTCATTTGCATATTCTCATATTTCTTCCACTGGATGCTACACATGCGCTAACACCCAAGAAAGGCCTGAAGGCCACAAACATGGGCTTCGTGGTGACTAGAGCCGTGTACCTGGGAGAAGCACATGGGTTCAAAAATTCCCATCAGAAGGATCAGTGGGTAAAAGCACCTGCTGCCAGGCCTCCTGGTGACCTGAGTTAGAATCTGAGGTAGAAGGAGAGAACTGGCTCCTCAAGGTTGTCCTCTGACCTCCACATGGATGCGATAGCATGTGTGTGTGTGTGTGTGTGTGTGTGTGTGTATGCACACACACACACACACACACACACACACACACACACACACACACAC